TATAACGAAGTTCCGCCAAAGGAAAAATATATTTTTTTCCGAAATTTCTCAAAAATTATTGTAGTTACCAAAATTATTTGTTCCTATTTTAAGGGTAAAATTACAGAATTTTTAAATTAAAAAAATCGTTAAAAAAAAACATTTTTTGGAGATTTTTTTTTTATACAATACCTCCAATTGATCTTTAAAGTTCCTGAAATTTTCAAGATTTTTTTAAGATACATACGAATTGGTTAAGATAATTTTATTTAGAGTTTGCAAAAAAGAAGTTTTCAAAAATTAAAAAAAAAAAATATATCTTTAAAAAACCACTTCGAGAAAATCTTTTAATATCAGTTGGAGATATGTATAAAAAAATAGCCGACGATTTTTTTAAGTTTTTGCTTTTCGCGCTTTTTTTAATTTCAAGATTCTGTAATTTTATTTATTTTTTTTTGTATAAATTGTTTCTTTATAGAACTTAATATCACCTTTAAAACGAGATCAGAAACATTTTTGTAGCTATACAAGTTTTTGTGAGATTTAGATTTTTGCATAAAAACTTGTTTAATACTTTCCTTTGGCAGAAGTTTGTTATATGAAAAGGAAAGATCTGACCAAAATTCATCCAGATCCAAACTGGTCCATTCCAACTATTGCTCGATTTGGCATAGATTGACCCCTGTTGTACATTTGTATATACCCAGAGCTCATACAATTTTCGCAAAGAAAAATGATATATCGCACACCGACTTCAAAAGAGGCACAACTCAAAAGTCAGATCCAGAAATATAACTGCTAGTGCATCGTTCATATTAAACGCAATTAATACAAACACATCATAAAGAAAAAAAAAATTTCCTTAATTTGAGAAAGATCCTACGCCTCTTTTGAAGACGGTTCATATTTATAATTTCCGACTTACCTCACTTCCAAAGCAGGTTTCAATTCAGGATAATCTTTGGGTATCAGCTGTTGTTTGAGTGCAATCAGCTGCTTTACATGACTAAACACATGCACAACGCTCTCCCAAGTTGCAGCATGCATCAATGCTTTTGACTCACCCTCTTTGAAATCAATGCTATTCTCCCAGTACATTTCAATGGAGTTCACCGTGCCTGTGAAAGTTGGATTGCTGGACTCAGTAAGGAGCAAGGTATATGTATGTGTAGAGGACTGTACCTGGAAAATTACGTTCAGCAAATACTACACCCATTTCGGCGGGTAAACTACCAAATCCACAGGCCGACACCACAAAGGCGTGCTTCTCCTTAGCCAATTCATGATACTTCACAGCCATGCCATCGATAAATTGTGATTCGCCGCTGATATCCACATGATGAGTGCCAGCTTCAATGCAGGCTTTTACCACCACCTCGCCATAAAAACGATAGGGGCCGCAACAATTGATGATGACCTTGAGTGTGGGAAAAATATCATCGTAAATACCATCTAGTTCCTTAAGTTTTACTTTCACTCAGCACACACCTTGCACTTGTTAACCATTTCCTTTATGGAGTTTTCATCTTCAACGTCTGCCAAAATAATGGGTATCTTACTAAGATCCTTGCCAATTTTTTTACCGGCTGCTTTCAAGACATTTTCCAATTTAGCCTAAAAAGTATTGAGTTTTTTTAATAAAACTACGATCATTTTAGTGCCTTAATCAGAGTTGTTTTTTACCGAATTCCTTCCCGCAATACCCCACGTCAGTCCTTGCAACACCTCCGGCGCATTCTCAACGACAATTTTCCCAGTGAAGCCGGTTGCACCGAAAATTATTGCATCCAATTTTGTCACCATTTTGATCTAAGCACTATGGTACTTTGAAAGGTTGACGCCTTCAATGTCTTGCAATAACTAAATTCGCATAAAATATTTACAACTGCATTAAGGGTAAGTGTCTTCCAAATCGATTTTACAAGAGCTCGCGAATGCCCCCAGACACCTCTTCCTAAATAATGCTAGCTATCTAGGTAGCAGAGAGAGAAAAGTGCAATATATTGCATCGAACGTAAGTGGCTTCGTTAAAGCCTGATTATGTCATCTTAACTTAACTTAACGGAACGTAGAACTTAGAGAATCAAAATGAAACAGATTTCGACGTAGCATTAAGTTACTTTAACTTTCGGCTATTCAATTATAAGCAACACCCATTTAACGGAAATTTTAAGAGAGAGCCGTAAGTTATGTTAAGTGGCCATAATCAGACCATTACACTCGACATAGTGCCAATTTTTCTTATACAAATATTTCATACATAAGTACATACTACATACATATATATAGTATATAGGAGTTTTGTGTCTCACAGGTTTTCCGACTCTTCGAACGAAATAATAAAATGTTGGTTCTGCGCAACATTTGTAGGGTTATTATAGACCTGAGCTTCTCCAAGTTTGCAGTTGTTTTTTGGAATTTTTTTTTTTTTTGCAGAGAATATAACTTCTCTTATTATTGTGCTCAGCCTGATTTTGGTTGGAACACAGCCGAACGCATCACCCCACTTATATTAGTTGTAAAGCTTATAAAACAATTCAAGAGGAGTTATATCCAGACACAGAAGATAAACCGGAGTTGCCATGTGTTTGCTAGGTTTATGGAAATATTTGAATGAAACACTCTCAAGGCAACAGAATGGAATAAGATTCTTAGGGGTTTTCAGCAGTCTTGTTTTTGCATTAAATATCATTGCTCATAGATTTAATTGGACTGTTATTTAGAGAAGGAAGGAGGTCCAATAGTTGCACGATTTATTTTAGCAGACCTTTGTTGGGTTATAGGACTTCTTTGATCCGCGTAGAGTTAAGGAACCCTGCGAAGTTTGTAAACTGAATGCTATTCAGGTCACATGCTTCTGGGTATGGCGAACCGATTCTAGGTGATGTCCGATTCTAGTAAGTACTTCTCAGTGGCAAATAATCTGCTCTGCTGCTTCTTGTTCCTTATGGCAACCTGCACTTTCAAAGATCGACAAATGCTTCTCACACTTTAGTGACCTGTAAAAATCCTTACTTTATATTTAGTAAGATGAAGGGGTGCTTTGGCTTTCCAAGTTGATATTTACCAGGCGGAAGAATTAAGCTTGCCAATTATATTCCATACTTGTCCAGTAATATGGCGTGTCCTTATTCATCCGGTTATAATAAATTCATCTAACACAACTCAGTCGCACCCAGATGAATGCTTCTGTGTCTATGAATCCCTGTACAGCTCCTTTTCTAGCGAGAATTTGTTCAGTTTCATTGCCCTTGACTGTGTTCGTGTACCCAAATGTGGAAATCCCGGTATCTGGAAGTGATGAGAATTAAACGATAAAGACAATCCATAATTCTTTGAAATGCAAAGGTCAACAAAACTAATACTTGTTGGATGAGTGTATTAGCTTCTTATTCTCCACATTGTTTTCTGAGATGAGTTTTGCTGTAAAGCAGTAGAGCCTCTTTTCTGAAAACTCAGCAAATGGTTAAGTAAAAAGAGAAAATTCTAAGAGTTTTTTCTGCAATTTTTTTGAACAATATTTGGCAAATATGGCAACACCGGTTAAGTAACAATTACATACATACATACTTATGTGAAGAGCGTGAATGTGAGCGCTTTTTTAAGAATATTCGCCATCAAAACGTATAGTAACGAAATGATTCACTATCTGCCCAAGCTAAAGCGAAACGTTGAGCGATTCAATGTTTTTAGCAATGGAATTCGATCGCTCTTCATAAGTCTGATATGTAATTAGTGCATATATCTACATATATTAGCGTGTATGTTTGCAGATCGCGAATTTTTTGAGCTTTTTGAAAACAATATTTAATAAATAGCTTGATTTTTGTGCATACATATGTTATTGTATTTAAACTATACATTCCAAATTATTTACTATAAAAAAAAACATTCAATAATTGAGTCATTTCTCACTTGCCCTCTAGGAAAATTTCGAATGGTATTGTAGAGTATTTTTCCGGAAGATCATATTAGATGCAATTCTTGGACATACATATGTGCATAGGTATATATATCACTGTCATTCGTTATTTGATTTTTATCGCAGAGAAAACAAGAGGTTTATTTTTGAAATTTCGTAAAGCAAATTATAATTTTCGGATATTTAATTACAATCATATGTATTTTTAAATTGCTTGATATTGATTGTGTAATCAAAGTCAATAGGGAATAAAAATATCTCTCCAGGATATAGAAAGTGCTACTACCTAAGTTTCCAAATTCAAAACAATGGTGAAATTTTAAATCGTTGAATTTTCCTACAGGGCTTTCATATACTTATATGCACAAAGCTTTTGAAATTATTGCTACATTCAATAATGCACACATTTTTTATTTTGTTTTTTTTTTATAAGTACATTAGGGTGCATACAAAAAAATCGGTAATGTTTTTTTTATAGGAAT